AAGACCTGGAGAGGTTTTGCAACATAATGAGGATGCTGGGGGGTGTGCTGCAGGACGCTGATGAGAGGCATCTCACCGGCAACACTAACCTGAAAGCTTGGCTTGAGAGGCTTCGAGATGTTGCTGATGAAGCTGATGATCTGCTCGAGGAGATCCGTTACGAAAATCTGCGGCGTCAGGTAGCAGAACTGAAGCCCAAGTGGAAAAAGGTCAGCTACTTCTTTACTCAGTCTAATCCTCTGGTATTTCGCCCGGGGATAGCTAATAGAGTTAAGAAGTTAAATGCATGTCTTGATGATATTAATGACTCGGCCAACCGGTTGGGGCTCCAAAACAAACTTGCGAATACTAGTGCTCCTGAACCTAGAGTAAACAAGCAGACCCACTCTTTTCTAGACCAAGAAGTTATTGGAAGAGATGAAGATGTTGATCAAATAGTTAGCCTGTTAATTGACTCTAGTAATCAGGAGGCCCTCTCTGTCATTTCTATAGTGGGTATGGCAGGCCTTGGCAAAACTACTTTAGCCAAAAAAGTGTGTGCAAATGATAAAATATGTGAATATTTTGGAGAAAATATTATGTGGATTTGTGTGTCTGAAATTTTTGATGTCCAAAGAATTTTAAGGGAAATATTGGAGTCTCTTACTGGTAGTCCCTGTAAGAATGAAAACAGAGATACTCTGCTTCGGAAAATAGGAGAAGAGTTGGAGAGAAAAGAGGAAAAGAAAGAGGGGAAAAACTATCTTCTCATACTAGATGATGTGTGGAGTGAGGAGAGTGGGAACTGGGAAGAGTTAAGGAGTTGTTTGTTGGGATTATGTAGAAAGGCTGGAAATAGAGTAGTTGTGACAACTCGAAATAGAAATGTCGCATCAATAATGGGTTCCAAATACATACATGATCTTAAGCAACTAGAAGTTGATCAATGTTGGTTTATAATCAGGCAGAGAGCATTTGGAGATGATGCTGTGCCTCCAAAATTGGAAGAAATTGGATTTGGTATTGCTGAAAAATGTGGGGGTGTTCCATTAGTTGCAAATGTTATAGGCGGGACTTTGTACAATAGAAGGGATGAAAAAGAGTGGTTGTCAGTTAAGGAGAAGATTCATGTATGGGGTTCACTTGAAGATCAACGTCGTAGGATCATGGATGTCTTGCAATTGAGTTTTGAACGGTTGCCAAAACCAGCTTTGAAGCAATGTTTTGCATTTTGTTCTATTTTCCCCAAGGATTTTGTCATTG